CCAGGACACAGAACCAGGGTCAGTTATGTGAGAATCCAACAACATAACCATTACTCCATCTGCTGGTCCCAAGGGAGAGTTAATACTTATTAAGTTAGTTAATACTTATTAAGCTCACATCTTTAGGCTCCAAAGTCTATGCTCTTCTTTTTTTTTTTTAATTATTCATAAAGGTCTTGCCTCTTTCTTGTTATTTAATTTGTAGGTATTTTCTGGTTTTTTTTAATCTCTTATGTTACTATGTATTCTGTAGTTATATAAGGACATATCTTTGGTTCTCAGGACGCATAGGATAAATATTGATTTTTGTGTGAAATTCTTGTTTGTTATTTTATTTGTAGGTATTTTCTGATTTTTAATCTCTTATGTTACTATGTATTCTGTAGTTATATAAGGACATATCTTTGGTTCTCAGGACGCATAGGATAAATATTGATTTTTGTGTGAAATTCTTGTATCTAATCATGGTAATAAGATTTTTATTTGCTCTAATAGTTATATACAATTTTAAAATAAAAAGAATGATTTCATTGTCAATGAATAAATACTTGGTCAATTTATTTTCAAATGGATTAGTTCTTATTTATATTTCTTGTCATATCTCATTGGTTAGAACTACCACAGAATATTAAATAGAAGAATTGTAATGTGTATCTCTTTTTTTTAGAGGTTTTTGTCTTAGGGAACATGTGCTCATCAGTAAGAGAGAGACAGAGACAGTGAGAGAGACAGTGCTAAATCACCTCTCCACCCTGCAATCCCTTCTTCTCCATTTTCTTCTTGCAATCTTGGGCACACATGCACACATGCCCAGCATGATTTTCAAGCCACCAGGTCTGGGAATTGAACTGTAGTCAGCCATGTGGGAGTCCAGTGATGTAACCACCAGGCCATCCGGTGGCCCTACACATCCTTTCTTAGCTGTTAGAATAATTTGCTATTTTTGTTTCCATAACCAAAAATATTTCAAGCGGAAATGTACCACCTTCTATATTCATACTTATAGCTTATTTTCATTTCATTAACTCAGTAAGAATGACAATTGTCAAAAATTTAAGGTTTAGACAAATTGGTTGTTAATCATTGCCATTATAAAAAAATTACATAAAAAATAATGAAAATATTTATATTTAATATAAAGATAACAAATATCTTAAATCACGTCTTCATTACTTTATCACATTTTATTATTGTCTATGCTCTTGAGATTATCTACATATATTCTATATATAGGAGCAAATACCATAAAATATTGTACTAGTCCACATCTGTGTTCAGTGAAATCATTATGATAACTTGAAATTGACCATCGTGAGAATATTTACACCATGGAAATCTGCAAGTGCAAGAAATCAGGGCTTGACTTCTTATTGTGTTGATCCTTAATGCAGTCTAAAATGTGTCTGTAGTTTTACATTGTATATAGCACCCAGCAGCCGACAGCCCTTCTAGTATTTGCAAACTATTCTGTGATTCAGCAAGAAGTTTTTATGTCATTGAAGACTAGAGAAATTCCAGCATATTTCTTCATTGTTTTTCTTTGTTAAACTCATGAACATAAATGAAAATACCAGCATTCCTATTGGAACTCCAGCTTTCATGGATGACATGATCAACTTCTTTCCTGAATCAGATATAAACAAGCATTCATAACTACCTGAATTTGTCAGGTTATGAATGAATTACAACCATAAATTGGCTATGGATATGAACTTGGCAAAACTCAACAAAAACATTCTGGGAAAATCAATTTGCTATATGGAATTGGCAATAAAGAATATCCTATAATTAGTTGTCACTTGTGTGTGAGATATATCATTTATAGTTATTAAATTTGTGATAATTTATTATATACTGGTTTTTTCCAAGAGAGTTGGCTGTGGATATTTATCAAAAGACCACAGATTATGACTCTCAGGATGTCAAAGCTAGTTCTTCCTTTCTCTTCCACTGTGTTTTTTTATTCAGTAAGAATTATGCTCTTCAATAAATGTAGCAAAGCAGTAGTGATGGGCAGAAAAGAATACTCTAATTGTCTTACTTATCACTGCCTGGACTGCAGGAGATTGGTTACTGTTGTTTGTACCAAACTCCACGTCTGCTTCCTAAGTCTCTGAGCCAAGAGACAGACAGAGATGTTCAAAGCTTCTTGTTGATTAATTTCAGGCCAGACAATTTGCTCAGATTCACAAATAACACAAAATTATTTTGCCAGTCCAGACTCATTAATCTTGCAGTTGACAATAGGGTGCAGTAAGTAAGAGATTCTTTCCCTGAGTTTTTCATATTAGGACTGTTTATTATCCTCAGTGCTTTAATTTTGTATTCAATGAGAAAAGAGAATATCTACTCCAGAATTCTTATTCAGATGACTTTTAAAATTGGAATTCAGGAACCAGCAGATGGCATAATGGCTATGTTGCTGGACTCCCATGTAGTCGACTGCAGTTCAAGTCCCAGACCCGGTGGCTTAAACTCACACCGGGCATGTGTACATGCATGCCCAAGATCCAGAGAGGAGAATGGAGGAGAAGGGATTGTGGGGTGGCCATCCCCCCTGGAGGGTAATTTCTTGCTTTCTGTCTCTCTGTGTCCTGTCTTTCTGGTGAGTACATGCACCCTATAGCAAAAACCTCTCCAAAAATAAACAAATAAATAAAATTGGAATTCAGAATCTGGTATTTCTGATCTAAAAGAGATAGGAGAAATTAACAGAACATTGTATGTAGTTCTCCTGGATTGAAGATGGGTTTGCTTCTGCCTCTTGCCCAAGGGATAATATGAAAATAAGTCCTTAAACATTGATTTTTCTTATAGTCTATGTAATTACCTGGACCCAGATTGCTCGAGGTTAAAAACAGGAGTTTGTTTATGCTCATTAAAACCTTTATAAAAATATCAAGAATACTCTTTCCAAAACGAATTTCCTAGCTACTTGCTGAGTGTTTATATGAAAATGGGGCTGCCAGTGCCAGAGAGGACTGGAGAAAGAACAGGGCGAAGTGGAAATATTTGTGCAACCTGCTTTCCCTTCTCTGGGTCTGCACTTAGAGGTCCTGAGAACACATCCATGAAACAATTAGCCCCTGTAATCTGAGTGCCTAGGAAAAAGAAATGGACACTGGACACTGTACACAGTGCCATGTGGGCGCACCTCGGCGCGGGGAGCACCTCAAGGTCTCTGAAAAGATACTGTCAGACATCTACGATGGGGAAAACCACCTGTCCCATCCCTTCAGGAAGAACTTGTCTCAGGCTCTTTGGCATTGACGACTTCCACTCTCCTGTAATAAAATAGAAATACATTTCCAGGGGCCAGACAATGGGGCACAGCCTAGGCCCTGTGAGGCGGATCTATGTGGGGGGTCCTAGGTTCCCGTCTGGGGACTTCCCTGCGACCGCCAGGCAGGGGTGAGCCCCTCTTCAGACTGGCCGAAGCTAGGATGAATTGTGCTGTGCGGGATGCCGGCTCTGTCTCTGTCTGTCTCGCTCACTTGTGGAATAAATAAAAGATTTAAAAACCACATTGCCTTATAATCACCTTTGCAGAGCATATTTGTCCTTGAAGCCAATTCTAGGCGGACCCAAACCAAAAAGCTCAGCAGGTCTTCATCTCACAGCCTCAAAGTTCAAGAGTTTTGCAATTAAGTAGGAAGGATGAAAAACAAAAGAAAACAAAAGCAACCCTAGGAGACCACAGGTAGCATGCTGGTTAAGAGGCTGGATTCCCACATGGTGACTGCCCTGCCAGTCCTGGACCTGCTGGCTTGAAACTCATGCTGGGCACGTGTGTGTGTGACCCAAATCCGGAGAGGAGAATGGAGAAGGGATTGTGGTGTGTGACCATCCCCCTGGGGGGGGGGGGGATTTCTCACTTTCCTTCTCTCTCTGTCTCCATCTCTTTCTGGTGAGCTCATGTGCCTTGTGACAAAAACCTTTAAAAAAAAAGAAAAAAAAAACCCTAATTACACCTATTGCCTTGCGTGCACTGTTCACTGGTAAATGTTTGGTCTCATTTCAGGATAGAATGAAACTTTTTCTTTTGGCTTCAGTGATGTTTTTCCCTAAGTATAGAAAGAATTATGCAGAGCATTTGCCTGAAATAGTCACATGGACATTTGTGGCACCTGTCAGACACCTCCCATCAGTCTCCTTTAAACAAACATCTTTCTTAGTTAACAAAAAAATTTCATTAAAGAATATTTCCAAATGCTACAGGTGAGTTGCGGTACAGGAAGCGCCGTAAAGACACAGAGAGCCTTTGTAGACAGAGTCTCAGCCCAAGGGACCGAGCAGCCCAGCGGAGTTACCTACAGGATTTTTGAACAGGGCATGTATCATCCCTTCATTTTACTATCTATTGTTTTAATAAGTGTTATATTTCCTATAACTGCTATTTCACCAGGGTCAGATCGTCAGTCAGTTGACCCTCCTTGTTCTTTGGCTCAGTGAAATAACTGGTGTAGAGAAAGCGCTTCCTAAGAGGAGGGTCTATAGCACCTACGTGTCTATGCCCCAGTCAACGTGGCCCAAGAGAAAGCTTAGGTTCAGATGGCTTTCCAGGGAGCTGGCGGACCAGACTGAAAACACTAAAGCTTGTAGAATACGCTCCACAAATTCGGTAACAGCTGGCCTGATAATAAGCAGCAGCCGTGAGTATTAGAAAGGCAATCATGAACGCTGCAGTGCACGCTGGGAGGTGTGCTCCCAGGCGTCTCAGAATCAGGACAAACTAGCAGAGAATGTCAGGATCCCGAGTGCGTATTTGAAATTCAGGACCAGGCAAGAAGGAGTGGAAGGCAGGAGAGAGGTGGGACGCTGGCGCGGACCCCAGGCCCAGCCGGCCAGAGGGAGGAGTGCTGGGGAGGTGGAGACAGGACGTCGCTGTCGCGCCAGGGCAGCGGCAGGGCGGTGAAGGGCTCCGCGCTCGGACCGCTCTCCGGAGCAGCCGCGGGCGGACAGGAGTCTCGAGACCCACCGGTAGGCGGCGCGCGCTCGCGGAGGCGGCGGGTGGGCAGGAACCGGCGGCGCCCTACGCCCCTTCCTGCAGGGACCCTCGGCAAGAAACCCTGCAGGACGCCTGCCTCCCTTAGCCCGGGGCGCCTGGGGTCCTGGCGTCTGAGTACCGGACCGACGCCGCTCAGCCCGAGAGCGCCTGGTTCGGGTCCTGGGGTGCGTTCGCTGCTCGCCTTCTTTAAACGTCCTGTCCAGCTCGGAGCGGGATCCGTCTTAGGTAAGGCTGTGGGAGTATCCGACGCCTTTGCCGAGAACAGTACTCTTGTTTGTGCTGTTTTCCACCAGGTCCGCGATCGCTCAAGTAGTTAGACAACCCCACCCCACCCCCACCCCCCGTCCCTCGGAGTGCTGCCCAGGGACATGGGGACGTGTGCACTGTGCACCAGGACACACTCGTGGGCTGGGCCTAAGGTCAGGTCTGCTCTGAGGGGCAGACCTGCGGCCCGAGACAGAGCAGGAGCCTGTGCACAGACAATAACGCGTGCAAATGGAAACGCGGGCCACCTCCGCACTTCGGGAAAACGCACAGCACTGCTGGAAACATGAGCTCCAAACATTTTAACCTCGCCACGGCTCGCGGGACAGGGACCAGCAGTTAGCGTAATGGCTGTGTCACTGGACTCCCACGTAGTTGACCGTGGTTCGAGTCCCAGACCTGGTGGCTTAAACTCATGCCGAGTGT